GGCAGCCCCGCGCCGCCCGCGCTCGGAGGCGAGGGAATAAGCGCGCTAGCTCGTGCGCGGCGCGTTGCTCGCTGCCGGTCGCTCAGCAGCGGGAAATGCGTTCAGTGAGTGCGTAAGGTTGGAGGCACCCGCTAGCAACGCAGCGCCCAAGTGAGGGCGTTTGGGGAAGAAGTGCCGGAGTTTGTCCGTCCGCGGCCGTCCCTTTCGGGCCCTTTTGGCCCCCGACCCATCGCTGCGCGAGCCGGTCCTCCTGCGCCAAGAGCCGGCGTCTCAGGATGAAGGGGTTTGGGAGAGCCCCCTCCAGGGCCCTGGAGGGAGGAGGTCTCGCTTCCCTCTCAGGTTGCCTGTTGCCCCTTAGGAGATGTTGGGACGCCCTCCAAGAAGGTGATCAGCACAGACGCCGAGGAAACGATCAGCTGGATGAAACCAGCCGTCCTAAACCCAAAATTCAATATGAAAAAGTGCGAAAGAAACCTTACAGAACGAGCGGTTTCTACAGGCGCAGACGTGCTCTCCTACTGCTCTGCCGTAGGAGCACAGTGAAATTTAACTGCAGAGTTTCCCGAGCAGAAAGAAGCCTGCTTTTTCTCTTGAACCTAGCTTGCCTTGCTCTGGGAAAAAGTTTGTGTGAACTTGTCATCTTAAAAAAGAGAAAAAGCCCTGCCGTGCCTCAGCTGGCCGCTGGGATGCAACGAGGGGATGTCGGCGCGGGGGGGCGAGCGGGGACAACCCTGGGCCGCGGGGCTGCCTTCGCTCGTGGGGAAAGCGAGCAAGGGTAGCTGCAAGAGTCTCCTTCCCCCCCCCCCCCCGCACCAACACAATAAATCCGAGGGATCCTGCTTTGGGATCCCTCGTTTCACCCGCGGCGCTGCTGCAGTCGCCCGTGTTGTGTCCCATGGGCGAGAGACAGCTCTTGACCTTCACGTGGGTCCAGCAGAGCATCGACGCGTCCCTGCCGCATCTAATGCTTTACAGTTTATCCGGCCTAGCCAAAACTCACCTCTTCCGTTTCTTCCTTGTTTTGGCTTTTCCCCCTGTGTAATTGCAAACGCTCCCCGAGATCCCAGCCCCGACCACGGAGCTGCCAGTGAAAGGTGCGGCCACGGTCTCGCTCCTGCAGTTCCCGAGTTGCTTGGAGCCCCGTTCGGTGAGCAGGGGCAGGTTACGTGCAGAGCCCAAGGTCCACTTCTGCACGCGTTTACTGCCTGTGTGTAAAGAGCCCAAGTGCCCGGCGGGGGCGCGGGGCGGCGCTGCCCGCTCCCGGCTCAGCCCCTCTCTGCAGACACCTTGGGTGAGGAGGCTTCATCCACCGAGCGCTCGGCTGCTTCAGTACGTTCTGCGTTGCTCAGTAGGGGCAAATTGTGTGTCAGAAGTTCATAGCTCTCTAAATTCAGAAGAGGGTATGTTATCCGCAATACGTATAAATAACTCCTTGCTTGGAGGTATAAATAATTCCTTTTCTTCCTACCTGTGCTTGGGACTGCGCTGCATATTTAAGCCAAAACATCACTTTGGGATAAACAGTCTCAACATGTTTTTCAGTAGAAAAGCCTTTTTAACGTATTCCTATAGAAATAACGCTTCTGAGGCTTTAACATGGAAATCAGTTTTCATCCTTTTTTTTTTCCCCCCCACCTACATAAAGAAGCTTCATGATAAAACGAAATCCGTTTTCATTCTTATCTTTAGCGCTCTGGGACAGGAGCGTTTCCCAGGCAGGACGCGAGAAGGGCCCTCTCCGCCGGGCCTCGCACAAAGGACAGGAGAAAAGTCACGTTTTCTTTCATTTTTTGGTGGGGATCTAAACGGCAGGGAAGCAGCAGCTTGTCGGGGAAGGCACAGGCTGTCGGAGGCAAACGCAGCGATTACCGCTGCCCTCCCCGCTGCCGCCCAAGGGATTGAACCTCGGGATTAAAGATGGCAGGAAAATTGCAAATACCTCCGGGGATATTTATAAAGATATTAATTTTTTTCGCGGACGCCGTTGGCGGGTTGCTTCCCCCAGCGCGGCGGAGGCGGGAGGGTCGCTGGCAGGGCAGAGCGCAGGACCCGCGCTCGTGGGATGAGACCCTTTTTTTTTTTTTGAATATAATTTCAGCAGCATTACCTGCAGTAACTTTTTGCAGATGAAAAATGTATGGCTTTTCCAGAACTGTAAGAAATATTGATGTTCTACAGGAAATCGGTAATTTCACTTTACGTATATAGTAAGCACATGGCTTCAGAAATGACTTCATTCCTACTCCAAGATAAGAAAACTGATGTATAGAAAAAAGTCAGGGTAATCTTTTTTTTTCTTTTTGAGAAAAAGAGAGCAAGATTATTTCCAACAGATCAATTTTTTTACCCAGAGACTGATCCAAGCTGTTCAGCTGTTTCGGGCACCAGCAGTTGGCACAGTCTTTGCTCTCCGATTCCCACTCAAGACTCCACCTTCATGATGTCTATGAGAAATGAGTTAGTGACTAGTTTTCATGCGAAGAGGTGGTAGCAGTGATGCACCTACTGCCCCAGGGGCCTTGGGGCGGCAACCGCGCAGTAACCCCTGTTTCGCTCTCTGCAGGGACGTGGGTCACGTTCGGAGGGCAGATCTCGGACGAGGTAAGTGCTGTTTGGCTGCAGTGCGATGCGCAAAGTGGAACTCATGTGCGTGATTTTTGCAGCAAATCATAGCTGCTGAAATACCAGGAGGCTATTTCGGTAACAGGAAATGGCAGAGGATTAGTGTGCGAAGGGATGCAAAGTTTGAGCTTCTGCTGCAAAAAAATCTTAATGATTATGACATTTGCAGAGATCAGCTTTAATAAAAACATCTCTTCCCCTAAACTGATCTGCTATTCATTGGCGTTTGGGATGATCTTTTCATGTTTATCATTGACAGTCGTACAGCTCCTGGAGCCAAAACTGGAACCTGCTATTTTTGCATAATGTATGTAAGCGGCTGCAGTCATAAACACAGGCACAGCGGCCTCTTCCAAAGAGCGGGCTGGTGATGTTGGTTTTTTTCAGGATAAGATGAAACAAATGAAAAATGTGCTTGGGTTTTTTACTCACTCTTGCCCGTAACAGATGGCTCTTAATCTCTGTTAATATTCCTTCAGAAGTGCTGCACAACACGTGGGTTTTACTAAGTGTCAGGTACATTGTGAATGTTATTCACCCTCCCCCCAAAAAAGTCTTCCAGCAGCCTTGCTTATAGTATTATGACATAAAATCCAAAAATAACTTTTTCCGGAGGAGAAGCACAGGATTTTGATTTCAGAGGGTTTTGATTTTGAAGTCATTTGATCTTTGTTATTTCTTCTGCTCTCCGTGGATCACTGAGCCGCGTTTATTTCTGGTTTTTTAGTGTTCTAGGTTGCAGCAAAAGGACTTGTTCCACTTACAGATTTGGTTTAATGGCTCTCTAGCTCTCCTCGGTTAAAAGAAGTCACTCCAAAATGCTAACAAATGGAAAAAGCAGGCTGAGCACAGCCCTGTCCTTGCCGGGCGCCGGCCCCCAGCGGGCGCTTTGTCCCCTCTGGATGCAAAGTCCCTTCTGATCAGCACTGGGGCGCCCATAGATTTTAATGGGAATTGAAGGAGATAACCTTCAGCTGCTGAAATATGCTGTAAAGGCTGCTGGAGAATTACAGAAAAGCCTGCCAGGTAGCCAAAAAAAAAAAAAGATCTTAGCATGGTAATGTCCTTTCTGTATTAAATCCCATAGATTTACAGAGTAATTTCTGTAACCCTATTAAATTTTTGGCTGCTTTGCTATTAGAAAGCAGAGGACTTTCCTATGAGAGGAGATTAATTTCCCCCGAGACGCGTTGGAGGGGAGTTTCTGCAAGTCGGTGTTTGGGCCGGCTCAGGGCAGTGCCCGGCCGCGC